AAATATGTACTTCTCTGTCGCACAATTCATGCACGTCCGATCGATAAGCAAAGTTGCGTAAGTCGGATGAAATTTATAAGACAGTTTCCAGAATGGAATTAACTGTTCGTATGCATATCTCTTAGGATACTAAAGAACTTAAGTCTACCGCCCATGATTCGCCGTGATAAATAAATTAATTACATGATCTAATGTTTACACCTTGGCGTTTCGGCCGTACTCCAAAATTTGTTTATGATAAAAAAGAAGATACCTGAAAAGGAAAGGTTTTTTCACTGGGTCTTTGGTAATAATACTAACTGCGGACTGATAGCCAGTGCCGCGGACTCACCCCTCACTAGTTAAGACATCTTTTAATCTTGCTCTCGTGATTAAATGATCGTCGCATTTAAACCATTGATCTCTTTGCTGCCGTATAAAGGCAGTGTAGTGTCCAGTCTCCAAAGAACCTTCGTGATTTATTACTGCGAACAACGAGTATCTGTTGTCGCTGAATGCCATGTCTTCTCCATTCTTTGGCAGTCCATCCATCATCGAACTGTTGTTGTTACCATTTCGTCTATGCGACATAAAGGGCGTCATATCTAACTGTTCTGGAAACGAGATGAACGTGGAAATCTTCTTATCCTGTATGCTAGAGTGCTCGAATCTTTTTAAATGAAAACTGGCCACAATAGGAAGTTGTTTCATCGTCAACTGCTTGGTGCTCTCTTGATAAGTTTGACAATTGCTGCATTTGATTTTTGCACTAGATCCCAAATGCTCTGCACGCGTGAACCTTTCCAGACAATCTAACAATGAGGTAGGAGGACCAGAAGTGTCGGAACCTGACGCACTAGCTGCTGGACCCAGATCCAGTGATATATCCCAAAACGGATCTATCGTAGTTGACACTCCACTAAAAAATAATTACATTAATAGATGATCCTTTTTAGTACATTATGGCACTGAACAGGTAGCAAAGCTGAATGCATTACAGTTAAATCTCTCTGAAGTGAGACCTGAATGTCCTATTTCATGGGTGAAATGAATTGTTCCCAAAGCGAAGCCATTATAAGTCCATAAATCAAAGAATGGAATGCACGTCCCAATTATTTTTAACAGTATTTGACTATAATGTAGTTAGCTTTACACCTTATATAATGCAATGGATATTCGTCGTACTTGCAAGCCTGACAAACCACGTCGCTTTGTAGCCCACCAGTAAAAATTTGATCAATGATACAATTACAATGATGTGGATTATCTTTCACTAAAATTGGCGCTGCCTCGCAATGTCTGTGTAAAACGTCGAGTGTAGCTATAAAGAACTCGTGGGCATCCTGCTGTTCGTAACCTGCTAAATGTCTGGCATGTGTCCATATCAAATGGAGAAGTTTGTGAAGCGTCAATGGTGCTTTGCTGCCAGAATAAAATTCCTGAAAAAGATGGGACACTTCACAGACTAAGCAGCGACTGGGTTGTGGGCAGTGATGACGGTCAGCAAGAAAATAATCTCTTAATAGCGGTGTGTGGATGAGAGCCTGTACAATACAGTTCATGAAACATGTACTTCCAAGGTTTATAAGTCCTCTCAAACCTGAAAATTTTAAATGGTATAAAAATGTATTGAATTTATACTGAAATTCATTGTTCTTGCAAAAAGTATTTTGTTGTAATGTTTACCTATAGTGGAATTTTCTACGACACGCCTTCTGCGTGGGTGTTTCCTCAATAAATCTGCCTCTATTTGTGTTGGTTCCCATGCTCGATAAAATTCTCCAAAGCTTAGTGATTTTGCAGATTCGCTCCACTGTGCCTTGGCAACTGCCAATAATTCTCTATCGTATACATAATCTCCACATTGGAAGCACAAAATATTTCCATAACAAAGATCAACAGCTGCAACAATAGATTTATATAAGAAATGCATTCAGTAAAAAGAATTTAATGTATTTTATACATGCTCACCTAAGAAATGCTTCTTTGTCTTTGCATGTTCCTGTATATGACCTTTCACATAGCAGCCAAAGAATATGCAGTGCAGACAAGAATGAAGGCGATCTTTGTACGTTTTACATGTATGACATAAGCAGCTCACTGCCTAAAAATTACAATACTCATTTATTCACTATTTATAATGAAAAAGAAATTAAAACTATTGTACAGATGAAACGTGTCGTATAGATTAGATAAAAAATGTTATTCAAGATAAGCTGTGAGATATTCTTGCGTATGTAATATACAATGAAGCCGAAGATTATTTAATATAATTTCATAATTTCATTCTGCTATAAAGCTTAGCAAAATATTCATCAAAGCAACGGTACCAGTAGAATCATAAATCTGCAATACCGTTACTTTACGCGAGCAACAAATCTGCCAGAACTTTGTACCGGCAGAGTAATCGTGCGGCGGCCATTTTTAAATCCGTCTTTACACACGACCGTCCATGAAAGTAACAGTACAGACCAAACAAATAAATTACATCGTACACGATGTTTTCATTGACTGCGCAACGTGCTTTATCTTCTTCAAAGCATATCTGTTCCAAAATTATTCTGGAATATGCAACAACGATTACATACCAACAAAAATTCGACTGATTCCGTGGTGCAACCGAAATCTTTTCTATGAAACGAAAAAAAAATGAGAAACAGCTAGTAAGGAAACTGGCACAAATATACAAAATATCTGTTAATCTGTTTAATGCTCTTTTTTTTAATACAATTAATCATTCGTATCAATCAATTAATTAACCTACAAACTAAAGAACAACGAAAGGACTTTTTCTCAAATGCCATTTTATCTCCTTAATATCAA